GTATTTAGGAAGAATTTTATATTTGACTCTTGAGCACACTATATCAAGAAAAGTGAGCTGAGAAAAGCAGTATAGTGCAACTTACCAGCATAGAAAAAAAGTACCATTTAAGGAAAAGACAAAATTTCTAAAAAAATGATCTTAACTATTGTCCTATCACTAGACTATTAAGAATGTTCCATAGGGCCATGATCTGAACTTACCAGAAATGTTTTAAATTAAAGTCTGTCTGGTTTCATTCATATAGGGAGATATACCATGTCATTTCTGCAAGACTACAAACCATATTTCATGCCACCTGCTCCCAAATGCTCACTGTCTCAATTTACAGAAGAAAACTAGAATTCCACTAGGGGAATGCTCTTAAGCGGAAAATTAGTCTGCTGGCTAAGGCAGACTAGCGATCTGTAGTTTGGTTCTGGATCTAAATTATTGGATCAATAACCAATAATTAATCCATACTTAAGATATCTGTTTTGAGCTGAAATGGATTTTCAATTCTCTGAAGGGTCACATGAACTTTCATGCACTCATCAAATCTTTTTTTCCCCCCAAATCCACTTTATTAAAGAATAAAAAGAAAAAAACACCAAAATTTCAAAACACATCATTCGGGGACAACAATGGTACATACATTGTGCATTGTCATCCCCAAATCATTCACCCTGGGCATAAGACACCGCTTTCAGTTGTACGAATCATACCAGCATAAATCTATCTCTTCAGTGAACTCAGAGAAATCAATAATATAACTATTTTCATATACATATACATTTTTTCTTTCAGCTCAACACACTTATGAAACAATACAATGTTTACCCACGTGTGTCTTATTTATTTCACTAATGAGTATGTTCTCAAGTTGCATCCATTTACCTTAAGTGTCCAGTTTATCCTTTATGGCTAAAATTCATCAAATCTTATGCTTAATGAATTTTTAAGGCTTCAAATACTTTTTAAACGAATTTAAGGTCCTTATAAACAGAGACGCAAAGAGTTCTCTGTGCTCTGGATAAGACACCCCTCTTTCCCTACTGCTAAAACTACCAGCAAGAAGCTCTCTTCTCGGCTGCATCTCTTCCACAGATGATCTACACCTCGCAGTTCATCACCAGCAAAATGTCCTGTAGCGTTCACCCCTCCTCTAAACATTTCCTTTTCCTTAAGTGAACTTCAGTTTGACCTCAATTGACACTGTTGCCTAATGTTTTGTGTGTGTACACTTGCTCTCGGCCAAATGACCAAGAAGTGATCTCCCACTGTCTGATAGCTGTCCTGGCAGACCCACAGACCCATAAGTGATGGAAATAATTATTCACTGACAGAAGCCACAGACTCCGGAGTTGTTTGCTATGCAGCATGTACATCAGTAGCTTATTACAGAAACTGACATTCCAAGAGGGGCACAGCCAAAATCTGATGGAAAATAAGAAAATACCTACAGGAATTTGAAAACTCTGACACTGTATGCACTGGTGAAACAGTTCACAAGTACTCTAGAAGCCAAAAAACTTATCAAATTGTGTAGTAGCAGAAATGCCCCCACTGACCTACAGAACTGAGAGTAAAGGAAGTGAACAGTTACTGTTGTCAAATGTTGCCAACTGGGGGCTATCAGTTATGCAGTGTCTTCACAGCAATACCTAAGTGTCATAAATGCCAGCTACCTCATTTGTCTCCTAGACTTCATCCACTTTGGGCTATTAGAGGACTCTGTTACAACATTTGCCTTATCCTGAATTATCTGATTTGCCAACCCCAAAAGTTCACTCCCAATAGCAAACATCTTATAATGTCTTTTAAATGAGGGGGGCTCCCTTTCTTGCCTATATATATCTCCTGTTATTGCTCTATTTCTCTTCTTTGTGGCAAAAAAAAAAAAAAAAGAAAAGAAAAGAAAAGAAAAGAAAAAGAAATACACACGAGCTCACACACATGCTCATTCTAGTTTCTTTCCTTCAGTTCATGTTTATTCTTGCCTCAATTTTACTCTTGTCATCCTTGGTTGCTGAATCCAGCGATTATTTCTCAATGTTCCTTTTGTTTGATCAGTTAGATTTGAGACAATTCTTTATTCCTGCCTCTCTATGACACTTTCTTTAACTCAATCTGCACACTGAGTGAAATTCCCCCATGGGTGGACTGTATATTCACCTGCTCAGTGAAATCATGGCCATATGAAAATATCACCAATTAAATGTATGTAAGAAATGACAGCCATAGCATCAGAACATAACTGTTAAGAAGCGACATGTGCTTTTACTCTGTGCTTCCTAACCAGCAAACGTCTAAGACCACAGACTAGCACACTGGCCTACAGGCCAAATCTCGTCTTCTGCTATTTTGTAAGTAGTTTTAATGGAACACAGTTCCATTAAATGTCCATTAATTTACATATTATCTTTAGCTAAGTAGTTATGACAAACTTTAAAGCCCACAAAATCTAAGGTATTCCTGGTCTGTCCTTTAAAAGGGCTGCCAACTCATGTTGTAGGTTATGGCTGCTGCTCTGTTAACCTGCAGACTGAGGTGTAGACAATGTGGAGCAGAACACTGGTTCATTTCAGACAGACATAGAGTAAGCAACAAATTACCTTTTTTTCTGCAGACCCCTAACATTTTGAGGAAGTTTATAATCATAGCATCATCACGCACCCTGGTATAGAAATTATAACCCAATTCTACTTACAAGGTGAGCGCCACTGAACACTGCCTCCTGCTTTGCCACTCACTCCTCTCTGGTCCTTGTCCCTGGCTCCCTGGCTTCAGCCCCTGGACTCCACACACCTGACAGATGTCAGCTACAGCACCCAAACCTCTCCTCTGCAGTCTGTATTCACTCCCTCAGCGAATGCATCAGCTTTATAGCTAAACAACAGTTCAACACTTATGCCCTCCAATTTTATATTCCAGACCTCGCCCTAAACTCTAAATTTGTTTAACTGTCAAATGTAGGAGATTTTCTTTTTAACCTTTTTGATCTAATATTACTCTTGCATTAATTAAAACAAAGGACTTTTCTTATGACCCAAATAAAACTCCTGCTCTGGCATCCAGACTTTCTGCAGACTTTCCCATCAGAGTATGTGGCAACTCTGCCATGACTGCCAATGCCAAACAATACCATTTCCCCCTTTTGTCCCATTTCTCCCATTTAAATGTTCAGCAAATCCTACTGGGTCTATCTTCAACATATACCTAAACTCTGTTTAGTATCTCTCACAGCCTCCAGAGTCACAATCTGGGTTAAGCCACCGTCACCTGTCACTTATGTTACTGTGGCCTCTGGCCTTACCCTACACAATCTATTCTTAACACTGTGGCTATGATAGTTCTTTAAATGCTAAAATCAGTTTGTTGTGTTTTTATAAATGTCTTCAACATGTTTCCAGATAAAAGTAGAAGCCTAGGTTCTTTCACACACTGCCCCTGCTCCCCTTACTCCATGGCTCCTGTCACTCCTCTCCCAGATCACAGCCACCAGCCACACTGCTGTCCATGCTGCTCCTGCGCTGTCCTTGTCTGCAATGCTCCTGCCTCAAAACCAGAATCCACACCCCCTGCAGGTCTTCGTTCCCATGACACCTACACCACCCCGTCAAGGCCCCCACCGGGTTTGGTTTTATCTATAGCACTTACCACACATGGCCTATAATATCTACTTCAATGTTTATTCATCATCTCCTTAGGCAGAAAGTCCCAGCAGACACAGACAATCAGCATTTTCTTTCAGAATGACCTTCCTAGTGTCTCCAACAGTTTCTGCACACACACAAGTCGCTAATACTGTATTTGTTGAATTGATAAATGAATTGTGAGATCAGAATCAGGTCCTCTCTGTACCTTACACTTCTAAGTTTCAAACTGAGGAACTAAGCACTTACTATAATGGGACAGAAATGCTGCAGTGAGGACTTAGACTCTGAGTCAAAACACTGCCTTATTCTCTAACAAATCTTTGCTTCTTTTCTCTCATTTACAGCAAAGGAAATAAAACACAGAAATCAAGAGGTCTAGAGTTCAACATAATTATATTTAGAGCTCTTGGGTAGAAAAGCCCTGTTTCAAAATCACAACTTTTTAAAAATATATTTTTTATGTACTACTTTTCCCCATCATAGAAGAATTTTGCCTCCAGGGAGTACATTTGTATGATGCACTGGCTTCCTATGAAATGAATAAAACATTCAACTGTAATTTTTAAAACAAAACAATTTACTCAAGAAGAACTAAGATCAGTCTTTTGAGACATGTATATGAATTCAGCTACTCTTCAACAAACTGCCTTTCATTTTTTCTGTTGCAAATGGTTCTTATAACTAAGAGGTTTTCCTGTTAATCACAGCTCCAAGACTCAGACATTAATAAAAATAACCATTTATCAAATTAATTAACTCTTTCAAGAGAGTTGAGCGTATCCGCAGATCAACACAGTGCAAATATCCCTGGGAAGAAGCCTACTTTTTATGACGCAGACACCATGTGTCTTCCGGTGATGAGAACAGGACATTCTGTTACAATGAGCACCTCTCACTCTCACCAGCTGAGATACAAATGGGACCCAAGATGTGGATATAAAATGTATCGCTTACATTGACCCAAATTAAATTTAAAATCTGTAGATTTTATAATAAGGCTCCCCCAGAACAATTTTGCTAAAGGGAAAAATTCCCCCCAAAACTAAAAAACTTGAGGAATAGTGCAGGGGAAGTAAGAGAACACTTTCTATTTAAATGCTGAAATGTCACATCTACCAAGCCTTCAAAAGTTACTTTGATATTTCTTTCTCCCTAAGGAGCTCATTACTTGTGTTTCTACTGACACATGCTTGCTCCCTTATTAAAGGTCTCTTTCTGGTGGGATCTCAGCAAGCTAATCATGCCATTTTCACAGTCAGCTAACAGGTATCCTTTGGTATGATAAAGCCATTTTAGTCATTTCAGGTAAACGTTTAAATTGTGTTAGAATTCTAATCATGACTTTCTTTTTTTATTACTTACCAAGTCCTAAAAGATCGACAGTGGGCTCTGCAGCTTTTTTAGGGCTGGTACTTTTTTTAGGCTCCAATTGTTGCTCTTCTTTCTTCTGTAGCTTTTAAAGTAAATAACCAAATTTATTAATTCTCTTAAAGAAAATAAATATTTTAAGCCTCAATTAATTATGCATAGTTAGTATAATAAAACATAAAATATGGTAAAATGCAGCCTTGAGCATTTATTATTATATAAAAAGTGAACACAGTCTCTTTTTTTGGAGTGCTGAAACTAAGGGCCTAAGTGCTAGGCAAGCATTCTACCACTGAACTACATCCCCAACTGCAAAGATGGTTCTTGAGCTTGCAATGATAATCCTTATATACTGGAAACGCAACATAGTGAATTTACTTAATTGTTCATTGTTCCTAACCATGTACATGAAATTACACTGTGTGAAGAAATGCATTTATTATTTGCTGGCTAACTTTAATGTACTCCTGTTAGTCAAAGCTGGGGAAGGTCTTGGAGTCTTCCTGAACACACTCTTAATCCCAAGAAAAACCCAGTGAAGTGGAATTTGATATTCGCTGTGGTCTGAATTTACAATGTTCCCCAAAAGTTTCATATATTCAGATTTGGGGCTTTTAGAAAATGACTGGATCGAGAGTTTTAAAAATGGCGGCTTACTAGGGGATTGGATGGAGAGTCTCTGTGGAGAAATCATATTAGATGCTAGAATATGACAACATGGAGAGAGCTAGAGGAATGGATATCGATTCTTATTAACCACGACAGCGTGGCTAGAGGATTTAAGGTTGTGCTGAGACTGCGGCTACTGGTAATGGGAGTCTGCAAATCCCACACCTTTAATGCAGCACACTGACCAGTGGATCCAAGAGGAAAAGCTGTACTGGCTTTTGGCGACTGCTGGAAATTAAGACCCGGGACCCAGTGAAGCAACCAGGACCGCCTGGCTGCACCGGAGGAGATTGTGAGAAGCTCCGGAGCTCTGAAGCCAGACACCGTGCAGTTTTCTGACCGTTCCGTACTGTGTTGGGAACGCAGAGCAGTGTGCAGTAGACCCAAGAGGAAGATCAACACTGAGTCCTGGTGAGTACTTAGGGACTGGGTCCCACGGCTGCTATGACTGGCTGGAAGACATCTTGGAATTGGGCAGAGCCCGCCACCACGGCAGCATCAGTAACATGGAGAATCTGGTGAGCGACATCTTGGAGTTGGGCAGAGACCAGCGCCATGACGGTGTCAGCGACACAGAGAGAACTAATGGAGGACATCTTGGAATTGGGCAGACCCAGTCCCGCAGTGACATTAGATAGTTGCTCCTGGCACAGAGAGGTCTGGTAAAGGACAGATGGGATTTGGGCAGAGCCCTGTGCCACGATGACATAAGTCAGTGGCTTCTGGCACAGAGAGAACTGGCAGGATCTGCTGGGGCTGAACCAAGCCTCTGGTTGGGACCCAATAAGCAGATACAAAATAGTCGCTACTCTGACATCCACAAAGTACAGCCTAACTTGCGGATTGACTGGCACAGAGGCTGGAGGCTAGCCTGCACCATCCCGCATCCCTGCCTACCCCAGATAACAGCAAATTGGGGAGGGCAGCAAAAACTCAAGTCAGCACACTTCTGAAAGGCCTTAAGCAATACGGAGAGGGCCAGAGACCCCCAGGGACACTCCAGTCTGAAAGAAACCAGAAACATGACAAGAGATAGAAATAAAAAAAAATCTCCAGCTGCCCAACATGAGAAAATAAGCCCAGGAGAAGTAAACACTGAAGAGAACAAGCACAGTAACCATCCAATACTGGACACAGCATCTGCCAAAATGAAAAAATACCTCCATGACCTCATAGATGAATTTAAAGCTGTACTCCTGATCCAAGTGAGGCAAGAAGATTAATTAAAGAAATAATAAGCTCCGCTCAAGAGAACACAGGTTGAAGAACGGAGGAAATCAGAAAAGAGAAACTTCTGAAGAATTTAAACATAACTTAGAATACATTGAAACAGATCCAAAGAAATTATCAAGAAACTAAAAACTCCATTGAACACTGGCAAAATGCCTTGACAGAAACTAAAGTTAGCCTTCTGAAACTTGAAGAGAGATTTATGATATATGGTCGTGAAAGAAAAGACCTCTTAAAAATAACAAAGAACCAGAAAGAAACAATTCAAAGGCTAGAAGATGACAAAAGGATACATAACTTAAGAATAAAGAATGTGAGTGAGGAAGCAGGAGCAACCAAAAATGAAATACAAAGAATATTCACAGATATATTAAAGCAAAATTTCCCATGTATAGCAAAAAGAAATGATATCCAGATAAAACAGGCATACAGAACACCAGCTACCTACACCCAGACATATAATAATCAAGATTCCAGAAATCCACCAAAAGAACAGAATATTAAAAGCAGCCAGGGAAAAGTAGCAGATTACCTACAATGAGAAAATTATCAAAATAACAACAGACTTATCAACACAAACTCTTAAATCGAGAAGGGAATGGGGAGAAATAGTCCAAGTCCTCAAAGAAAATAATTTGCAACCAAGACTCATATACCCATCAAAACTCTCTCTCAAAATGAATGGAGAAATAAGATGCTTCCAAGACAAGGAGGAACTGTGGTAGTTCGTGGCCACCAACCCAACCCTACAGAGAGTGCTGAAGGACATTCCAGAGAAAGAGAAGAAGGGATACCAGCATTCCAGCAACAGTGGCAGAGAGGCCTCAATGAATGGGGCAGACAGTGGAATGAGGGAGTAAGGTGGACAAATTATAGCAGTAAAGTGGAGTAGCAGACATGAGGCAGAGATGGTAAGCTATAATCTTTAGTATAGATAGCTTTGATGCACTATTAAAAAAAGGCAAGGTCATTGTTAATAGTGTATCAGGATTTAAAAGACACAGTAGTCTTATCGCCCTGTTTAGTTTGAATTTAATTTGTTCTGGTCTGTCCACTCATATCAGATTTGAGAGCACAGACATCTGACCCAAAAATAGCAGGTTATACCATGGTAACTATCCTTAATTTCCTATTAACTTAAACTGAAACCCTGTATTACTTACATTGTCTTACTATGACTGATCTTATTTGAATCCGATTCATTAGACCACGGTTTTGCCTTGGCTGATTTTATCTGAATTTGGTATGCTTGATAGTATCAACCCTAAAAGTAGAGGCAACTACTCTGAAGATGACAAGATCTAAAAGATATCCATACTGGTATTGATTATTAACAGCTCTCAAGCCCTACAATGTTTTCAAAGTTGTGTTTTTATAAAAATAGCTATGTAATACTATGCTTAACTATATTAAGCCCGATAATGTGGACAAGTCTATTGAAAATAACAAGAGAAAGCATAGTGACTATGGTAGATCACCTAATATTGTGGTCTTATGTGTCTTTTTCATTGCATGTTTTTCTAGGAATTTGTTTTGCTGTCTTGTTATGATTTGTTTTTCCCTGTAATACAGAGAGGATAGATACACATGTAGAAATTCACACATGAGAAGATTTTTTTAAAACTATTCATGGGAACAGATTACATAATTCAAGATGTAATGAACAGATACTCTGAAGAAGAAGAGACACTAAGAAACCCAATGCTAATTCTGTAGCATGATATAAAATCTAGCAATACTATTATTCACTGATCAGAGTGATATTAGTCTAGTCTCTTAAGTTCAATTTCAGCATATGTAAAGATAAGGGCAGCTACTACGAAGAGAATGAGGGACACTATGGTAGTTATTATTGACTTCCCCAATGTCAGATCTTGAAGACCTAAAAAGCCTTCATGATCCTGTAATGATTTGATTAGTTCTATACTATGCAGTATGTATTTAATGTGCGTGAAGATGGCAACAACTATTTGGAAGAAACTAGAGACAATTAGATAAACAGTGAAGATCTCCAGTGGACTTGCTTTGAAATCTGTATTTCTTTTTTTTGTCTTTTTTGTTTTTACCGGTACCAGGGATCGAACTCACGACTGCCTGCTTGCAAGGCAGGCACTTAATACTGCTGAGCTAAATCCCCAGCTCCTGAAATCTGTATTTCTTTAAATTGTTTTTTTTTTAACTGTTTTGTTCCATTTTGATGTTTAATCGTACCCTCTTTAAGATAAAAAACAAGTGTGTAGGACTGATAACCATATTACTATAAGACCTTGATGAACCTGGCAAGAGAATGGGTAATCTCCTCCTCCACACAGAGAACATCAGACAAGTTGAGAAGTGCACCAATAAGGCCTCCATCAACTTGGAGAACATTAAAAGGGCCTCAGCTGACACAAACACTATGGACAGGGAGAGCTGGTGACCTGCATCAACCTGAAGACATATCAAGAGCAGGAACTAAGAGTTGACCTACATCAATACTTCTAGGCTAGTCAGCCCAGAAAGAATATAGGACTCACCCAACAGGCCCTGTAAGAGGACTTCAGGTGACTGGCTTTCCTCTATATTGTGGTATCCAGCAATTGGATAAACATTAACCACACGGTAGGACCCTTAAACTCACACTACAGACAGTTGAGACTGTTGGGATTGAAAGACCAAATATTTACAAAAGGTGAAAATGACAAAATGAAAAGGCAAAATGCAATCTCAAACATCTAGTCCATCAGGAGCAAGTACAGGCAACACTGAAACAGAGTACTATAAAAGTCATACACCAGGAATCTCTGAAAAGATAGCAAATGAAGTAAAAGAAAACAAATCCATGAGGCTATAGAGGAAATAAAATTAGAAATAATGTTGTATATAAAGACAGAAATAACAGTCTTACTAAATAAGTTGCTCAACATAGTGAGAGAAGAAATAGATAAAAAATAGCAGAGCATGGGAAATTGATTGAAAATTTGAATGAACAATGCAGAAAACAAGCAGAATCCATAAAATAAATTCAAAGAGATACCCAAGAAACAAAAAACTCTATTGAAAGTTGGCAAAACCATTTAAATGAGGCTGAGAACAGAATTTCGGACCTTTTAGGACAGGATTGCAGATAGCAATCATGAAAGGATAGAACTTATAAAAACAACAAAGCAGCATGAAATGACAATCCAGCAGCTTCCAGATGATGCC